TTAAACCCAACTCACTCACTCATTCGGCGAGTATCCGAATATTATCATGTTTTAATGTTTTCTTTGGCAACTTACGAGAAATAAATTTTATCGCTATTCCTGCCAGTCCAGAGACTCCAGCGGCTATTTCCATGTCAAGTACGATAGGCGTGGCGATTATAGTTGATAGTAAACCAACACCGGCTACACCGAGTCCCATGCCAGCCTTTACAAGCATACGTTATCAATGTACCTCGAGTACAAGCAAGTAATATCCATGTACTGGTACAGCATAGCATTATTATGAATATGAAATCACAATAGCACATTTTCTTTTTAAAACAGACAAATTGTGCGTTGATAATGCTTTAATCTCTACATTAACAATCCCGGAAGAAAACTAACCCCTTTATTTCACCACTGTACCCAAGCTTGTTCTATTATGCCAACAGTTCAAACTCGAGACCTAGCAACATATCCGATTACACTTGGCCCAGGCTGACCCTAGCGGGATTCCGTCAGTTCTCAATGCAATACTCACGCGGTAGTCTCCTAGGCCTGGTCCTGCGCCATGACTGTGGAATTTATATTTTTTAGGTATTCTGTTTTACTAAATTCCTAGGCAAGTCTAGATCATACTAACCAAGTCTAGTTTAGTTGATTCCATAACAGCAGAAGGAGAAAGGTTCTTCCGAATAAAAAAAATATATTTTAAAGAAATGTTTTCATTGACTATGTGTTACTCTATCTGTCCCCAGATCCTAGAGAATACATTTGAAACGGACTCCAAGTAAAGAATGATTTGACAAGTCTAGATTGCCTAAGTTCTGGTCCTGAAATCAAGCATCGTTCTGGGATCCATTTGTATTCTATTGAGTAGATTTATAATTTTAACTACGTGAAATTGTATTTCTGGGATGTTGGTTGATTTTAGATGTGGGTATTTATAGATAACAAAAAAATATGAAATATATATTATTTATGATGTAGCTAAGGTATGTGCACGTGTAAAAACTGTAGTTTGTAGTCAACCAAAGAAGATAATCAACACTTTAGATTGTATATTGTTTTGAAATGTCTCGCCTCATGAACACGTTCCTTATTTCAATATTGTATTCAATTCCACCCATGACTGTACACAACATTTATATATTTACATGTATACGACGGCTACATGGGCAAGTATAACGGTAAACACAAACGTGTGTTTGTTTAACATTTTTGTGTGTTGAAACACTGTTATATTAAAGGGAAATATAACCATTTAGTCTGTTCGGGTAACCAATTCTAGCTATTATTTCCTGAATAAAATATTATCTACTTCAGGCATACACATATTGTTTTGTGTCATGTGACACCAGATGTTGTTATCAACCAATACTCGTAACGTAAACAACCATAGAAAAGTGAAACATCAATGCTAGAGAATAACCAAGTTCGATTTTCCAACGAAAAAATTCCTTTTGGCGTGAACGTTGACAATAGCGGTACAAATATATTAATGGATCACTGAAAATCTGTTGCCTCCGATGAATAGATGAAGTTATGCCGAAACAGTAAGCTCTTAGAAGTCTTGTTTGCCAGCTGGGACCATGTCAGTATATCAGGTATGAAATGCATTTACACGTTGAACGCATTGACAGAGAGTATTAGTTATCTTGAACGGTTGGTGAAACCGCGCAAATCGAAACAGTTCATTTATGGTGTAGTATTTCCATTGGGGGGTATTCTGGGGGCGAATATATTTCGTGACACCGGAACTACTGATGTAACTGATTTCAGAGATCTTATTAATCCTCGCAAACATTCGGTTTTAACACTAACTACGTAAAAACTGTCAACATATCCACGCCGTTATACTCTGATTAAAGATCTAAAATATATTCCTTAATACAGGCTACCATTTGAAAATGGTATCAGTGTAATACCAGGGGCTAGAATATCATGGTGCAACCAGGTTTCTGTTAAACATACAACATCATAACTATCTAATTCAGCACTGATTAAATCTACTTTAAAATCTACGTTTACATGTATAATCTTTATAAGCAAAGTAACCCAAAATATAGATAATGTGTATCATCTTCCCGAAATGATTAGCATGTAGAATAGATTCAAAAACACCTGTATTGAACAACATCAACCGGCATCGTCAAAGCAAAGTGTACATGTAATTGTTACCATGGGGCTGGCGGTGAATATTAATGAAGAACATCTTGTTAAAAAGACACACCGAAACTGATTTGCATAACTGATGACCACAACATATTGCAAAATATCAAAATAGTAAAAATTATACAGTTTAACCTCACACTGAAGAGAAAACAAGAACGACACAGAAAAGTAAAATAGTACGTCATATAGAACTGAGATAAAGTAATCTGAGAAGGGATTCATACGTTATATACAACTTAAAAATATAATATTATGAAAAACGAAAGGAAAGGTGGCACACCCCCCACCCCCCACCACACACCCCACACAAGTAACTAAATGTATAATTCAGAAAAAATAAAGGAGATAAAAAAAATGAATAAAAAAACACATAAACAAATTAACATTAAAACTATTGGCAACTGCATGGCAAGTTTTTATAAAACGACCGGGGGAGGAAATATTCTGGGGGGAGATTTTATTTCGTAGGGTGGGGGAGAGTTTATTTCGAGAGGGGCGGAACTGTACCGGTATAAATTCGCCGGGGGGAGATTTTATTCTGGGGGCGAATATATTTCGTGACACCGGCACCTTGTTTATATCAGTCACTAGTGACCTGAGTGATCCACTCCAAAGTGGTCGCGATATCTTTTATGTGAGGGTGCATTTCATGAACTGTAGTGTCACGCCATTGTTTGGTATCATACCATGTATAATACAAGTATGATAAATCAACTGACTGTTTTACCTTTGTAGCATTATATATGACGTTTGTTCTTGAAGCTCGATCTCTTCTGGATGTTTGGACTGCTGGCCATTCCTAAGTAGTTCCAACCTGCCTTCAACTTCCTCAATTTGTAAACAGTGACTTGAATGTAAAACGTACAGCTCACTAGCGTCAGTGGCAGAGAGAATAGTGAAGTCATTTGACTGTGATGTCATGGTAACAAATGACACCACAACGGTCTAAAAAACATTATGATGCAATTTCGTCGAAGTGATATATCCTTTTCTTACACACCTGTGGATGAGAAACCCATTTGAGATAACTGGTATCAAACATATGTGAGATCGAATTCCAGGCCCGTGATTAGCTAATCCATGGTGATGACCTGAGGTCAGATGATGACGGACTACTTTCCTGAGTATAAGTCATTCATAAGTTGCTCGTGCTTCAGTCGAATGATCACCTACGTCTGTATTGAACCACAGGACCGTGTAATTAATAATAATAATAATAATAATAATAGTAATAATATTGTTATTGTTATTATTATCAGTTACATTATCTGTTATGTCAACGTTATTGTTTTTTAGAGTGCAATACCTTCCTCTTCAACACACTTCGAAGTCGAATAAAATTCAAAACACATCACGCCAACTAATACACATTACAGTTTTGTATTCCCCCTTCTGTTTATTTTACTGTCATTTTAGGCTCAGCAAATTTACTGAAAGTGACTTCTGAAAATTAGGTACATCGTAAAGCTCGCCAAATCACAATTCACGGCGTTATTTACAAGAGAGTATACTGTGTGTTTACAAATCTAAATATCGGATATTTACTCGAAAAATTAATGTAGAAAAATAGCATATTAGTGATGTCGGGTATCAAATCAGTAATGATAATTTTGAAACGTTGCTGATAGCCTAGAATCGATTAGAATGTTTTGGAAAATTCGCAAGTGTACGTTCCGCTATAGTGGATTGTGTTTACAAAATGCCGGTTATGAGACGCCTATTCGATCAGGTATATTTCAAACTCAGCTGCTATACATGCATCCCTGAATTCCTCATACATTTTAGAAACAAATGTCACCAATGCAAATTATCTAGATGAAATCATGCGAAATAAATTAGGTGTGGAAACAAACACTGTGCTCTGAAAACTGTACTTGCTGAAATGTAAACAAGCAAAATTCAGATTTTACACTGTGTAGCATTTTTAGTGGTACTTTCGTCTAATTGTTGCATACATTGGCTAGATCATGCGTTTGAGAATATTAAGGGGAAGAGAATCGTTGCACTAATTATGGAATTTCAAATATATAATTTACATTACAATGATATGTAAATTTTGTCCTGTGTGGCGCTAATTAACGCACAACGACGACGGTAGTTATCAGCATTTCTGACTAATTCTCTTTGTTACATTGGAAAACATGGTCAACCAATAACAGTACATAGATTGTCAGATTGTTTCTGATTACTTTTTTTACACATTTATGTACATACGATCCCTCAATCAACGAAAATCCTCCTCTGGAGATTCCTCGTACTCTTGTCAGTGAACACGCCATTTTGTAAAAGTCGGTCACAGGTAGTGATGTCATACGGGAGTAAACATTGTTGTTCCTATTTGGTAATTTCTTTGAGGTGTGAACTTTTAACTCGACATCCAGCGTGTTCTTTGTTTTGTCATCGCCTTAATAATCCACAAATATGGCGGAAACCTTTATGTGTAGGGTCACATTATTTATGAGTAGTAAGCAATACATAGGATGACGTCACTTATGACAGTGCTGTTCTGTATTAATGCGCTGCTGCGATCATGAGAATTAGACAAAATGCATCGATTCGATGCCAAAAAGGTGCGATTTTAGGGTGTGTAAGAAACAGATTACTGCACTCGTGCCTGTCAGATACCATTGATCTTACAACTCGTTGTTACAAAGCGTATCTAACTCGCTTTCGCTCGTTAGATTCGTTTTGAAACAACTCGTTCTAAGATCAATGGTATCTGATCATGACAGACACTCGTGTAGTAATCTCTATGGAGGCAACGCCCGTGGAAGCCAGTTTTGGGTGATAGAAGAAAATATTATGAACGGGTTTCCGTAAATAATGTTTGTTGAATCTTTTTTCAGTAACTTCGAATTCGAACCTGCAATACAGTTCATCTGGAAAAAGTCAAGATGAGAAGCACTATTTGAGGTTCACGAAATGGTGGCAAGCATCTGCTCTCTTTAAATGGTAGGTAACCTTAAATGTAGAGATTACAGTTGGGGACGTTTACCATTGCAATGACGACCGCCTCCATGGGCTAGAGTATTGGGCGTCTACCCGAAGAGCGGAAGGTCGTGGGCTTGAACCCAGGCAGCTTCATACCAAAATATGTCAAAGATGGTACTTGTTGTTACCCTTCCTCGCGCTCGGCATTAAGCGGATAAAACAAGGACAGATGGATTCGGAGTCAGTATACTATGTCTGAGTGGTGTATTCATATTCAAATGGGGCATGGTATTTCAGTGGGCTGGCACTATAAAATCGGCATTAGTCCGATATACACACGTACACGCTTACGCACACGCACACGCACACGCACACGCACAAGCACACGCACGCATGCATGCATCACGTCGCAAGGTAAGTGGAATAATCTTGAACGCGACATTAAACCCCATTGCACCTCATCATTGCAGTAGCTGCGACAAGACAAAAATGGTGTTGTAACTATTGCAATTTAACACTGGTTATGACCAACAACGCAACGTTGGCACCAGGGTCACAAACACTTAATTGCATATACCTATATGCAAAAGGTTTGGCGTGACCTCAGCCTATAGATTTCGACTTCATTTTAACAAAATCGTGAAACTTACGAAGAATCAGAGTAACCAGGTTTAAGGAAGACTGCATTGTGTTGCTGAAATGGTAACGTTGCGGTAATCTGTAGATGTTTCTTACATGGACATAAAAAGCATTGGCAACCATTCATGTGCAGTTTGGCCAGCATGTAGTTGTCTTAAAGCCTGATTTCTCTTATTCTTTGCCTTGACATGATACTCGTATTGACACAAGAATGTTTCATCCACGTAATGGGGTGCCGTTTATCAAAAGTGGCACAAGTAAATACAAGTGAAATTTCATGGCATGTAGTACCCTGGAAGTTTGTTAAGCTGCGTTTTGGTGACCCATTATATCCATATATTTTGTCCCGTTTTGGCCGTTGAGATTTAGTTTGGATACAGACTAATGTCAAAAACGAGATACCTCCGACAAATGCATTGATATTTCAACAGGAAACTTACATGATTCATTTTCATGAAGTGACGTTATTTGTTCCTCATAAAAGACCGCAAATATCATTCAGTAAGTCCATTGTTCGAATCGCACAATGGGATTCAGAATTATTATGACCGCTACATTGGCGCCAAACGTTGTGCTGAGCACATTAATATTTAATTTGAGAAAAATCAATCTCAGTACCCTACTATACAACCCAGAACGTGCCTTCTGTTGACGGGGGGAGTATGTAACGGGGCTTGGAGTCATCACACACATGAATGACATCATTACCTACACAGCTTGCTGACGTGAAGGAGTCCGACCTAAGATCAGAAGGTCCGTGGTTCGAATCTCATTGGAAAATGTATGGCCGCTACAATTACGATGTGATAACAAGACGCCATTATGATGTTGCAGGGAGTGGGAGAAGCCAATGGAATACAGCTGTAAGACAATAGTGCCAATGGGAAACTGGCATGTGTGTATGGACCATCCGTATACGATCAAGCCACCCTGTATTGTATATTCCTTTGGGTACGTATACACTTTCCTTTAGACCCTTCCTAGTAATACCATTAAAGGCTGATGTTCCTGTGTACCTAGCGGAACGTTCCATGTGGGTGGGATTGATTCTTAGCAAGAGGCTAAGAGGCGACTGACATACATTTTTGTAGATGACGCACCAGGCTCAGGGACTTCACTGACTAGGAATATACTGGTGAAAAGGCAATTTAGTTGGCTGGATATGTTTGATATCCTGAAAAAAATGTGTTGTAAGTGTAAATAAATTGTGTCTTGAGGCCGCAAATGTATTCTGTCTCTTTATAAAAAGACAGCTCCCAGTTTTGCGAAAATATATAATTCTTTTGACGTCATCCTTATGTTCTAAATGTGTATTTGTTCTAGGTAATTCTAATTCTTGAACGACCAAACGACCCTACAATAAACAAGTGTTAGATCATTCCAAAAGTCTGCAAAAAGTCTTGGTCTGCTCGTGATTGACGCGCATGTGCGTGGTTGATCTCATTGCATCAAAGGGCATAGGTTGCGCGCCTGTGCATTCATTCCATCGCTGTTGAATTATTTATGTCAAGGAAAGCACTAGAAACCGTGTGTTCATGAAAACAATACACGATGATTTGATTGTGCCGAATGCAGGTTTCCGAGGTCTTTCTGTCTGACATAAAAAATGTATTACAGAATCTACGTTGACTGGTCATTTGATGACGCAATGGGGAAACATGGCTGTGAGGTCCATTGTTTTGATCCAAGGTATGTGTGTTTAGTATACAAACCTGCAAAGTTATATCACATGATAGACAAGCAATGTGGCTTTACGTAATACTATTATCTTCTTATCAACGAAAACATCATTAAACACGTGAGTTAATTGGAAAGATATTACTTTCGTTTTCTTCGTAGGGACCGGTCATTTATAAAGAGGAGTGGGGGAGGTTTTGATGCACTTCTGTACTGAAACTAATGACTAATGAATCTCCCCTATGCTTGTCAAATTCTGTATGACCCTGCCCGAAACGACTAAATGCAGACGTACTTCTTTTTTTATCATAAAATGTCCATTTTTACAAGGCCCTCCCCAAATATGTCTACTCTTAGTATTTCCCTCCCCTGGAGACTGTCAAACTTTTGGTGACCCTCTTCTGGCTCCCTGTAATAATAAACGACCGGTCCCTTATAGTCAGCTAGTGCGGACAATGGCGTATATATTTATGATTGAAGGAATTGGTTTAACGCCAGTTGGTATTTCAGACTTTTCAGTTATTTCTGATTTCACGGCTGTCTTCCCTCTTACACCCTATGGAATTTGTTTCGGCAGACAATCGAGACTGGTTGTTCTCTTGCGTTATATACGACTTTTAACACGAGCGCTGATAAACCTAGATACATAATCAGAGAGAATCTAGCCCTTTGAACACTCCTTGACCGAACACCACCCTTCTGCCCTCTGAATGGTTTCTGACTGAACACTACTTTTCTGCCCTCTTAATACGACCTGATTGTCCTCTGAAAACTACCTGACAAACCTTTGAACCCTACCTGTCTTAACACTAACACGATATCAGTAATACCCATCTTCACCATCGACAATGTTCGCCTTTCATGAACATCGCCAGTGTGAATATATTATAATGACCAGCATCTTCTCTCAGTATAGGAAAACAGGACTTTAACAGAAGCCAGAACGTCCATTTCCACAACCTCGGCATCGCACAGTATGACAGTGACACATTTGAGGCACGAAAGGATGTCTACGTCCATAACAAACAAATATGGAAAATCAGACGCCTCAAGTCTGTCATGGAAATGCTTGGACATGTAAGTACAAATTACTTTAACAATGAAAAATTAGGTGAGTGATGGGTGCTACCGGCGGAGCAGGACACGCTTACCCTTTCCGAGGACACCTGGTGTCATCACTGATTTCCACCGATCCATTGATATAACTGTCATCACTATTTTGCATGGTGTTTTCGTTTTCAACTTCCTATTATAAAAATACTCATATCCGCATCACGAGGTAATTCCCATGACACTGGCGACATTCCTGATAAGGTCATTTACAAAAAAACTTGTGTTTCATTTTTTTTTCAAATCAGTGGGGAGGTACATTTACATGTAGGTCGAATCTTGATTCCGTTTTCACCAGCACTCTGACCTATGCTAAATTTACAATTGTAATAAAAGAAAACAGTGAAATAGAGAGAACGTTTATGTTACATGCTATCAATAGTAGTCAGGAAGTAGTTACATAAAGGGCAACGTTGCAATGGAAAATATCTCTAAATTGCCAAATAAAGCGACAAAACTCTTTCATTGCCAAAGAAATTCTATGGCCTTAAGCTACCTGGAGAACAACTCTACATCGAAAAATGTTTATTATTTATTGATATAAAAATTTCTTTACATTGTGCCAAAGAAATTATTAAAAGCTTTAAACCAGTGGTGAAACATCCATAATCGCAAAACGTTTATGACTTATTCATGTAAATGCTTTGTTGACTTTGAATTACGTTATTTTTTAGAAAACCATCGATGTTCTCAAGATCGACATTGAAACAAGCGAGTGGCCAACAGCAAAAGATTTAGTGGGATCGGGTGTGCTCTCCAATGTCAGACAATTCCTGATAGAATGGCACCTGTTCTTGGACTATCCCAGCACGGACAAATATATTGAGTTATACAATACTTACATGGCTGTGAAGGACCAAGGATTCTCCACTTTCAAGGTGGATTTTCATCACAACACCATAAAGAAAAATAACCTGCTGTTTCAAGCTGACGTGGATTATGTCAACACGGCGTATAAAGGGAAGTAATTCTTACCGGACCAAGAAATGGTTATCACTCTTTGCAGCTACCTTCACTCAGGTACCACCAAATCGGGACGATTGTGCCTACTCTGAACCGTAGCTGTGTATGTGGGAATGTGTTGGTATAGGAGTGTGGTGAGGGTATATGTCTTTATACTATCTCTGAGGACCGAAATCTCTCTTTGACGAGATTTGGTGGCAATCCATCAGATATTTTGTTTCACTTTTCCGATTGAAATGTTTCTTCAGAGAGATGGTATTATTACCTCATTAACTTAATAATCCAATTAATTAGTCTCCTGCACATATATGCGATTACTTGTGTTGGTTTTGAAATCTATGGCTGCTCTAACGTCTAATGATACAACTCAAACATGTCCATATAATTAATTGATATTTGAGTCAAGAAATAAAAATATTTGAGTGATGTTCTTTATCCTGTTATATAGTGATGCAGTACAGTAAGCAAAGAGTGTTTCGTGCAGTTTGGAAGAAATAGTAAACTAAACGTGGAAAAAAGGTTGTGGTTGATTATAAATTGAGGAGCAAAAGAAACGGTACCTCTCAGTTGATTTTATCATATGTTTGATTTTCCATTGAAAATATCTTAAGTCAGCGATGATATATAAAAACATAATCTGTACTGGCACTTTGTCAGCACTCAGAGAATATTTCTAACTGGTATATTTTTTAAAATATAATTTGATTTAAAACTTTCACAAATTAAAAAAATACCTTTGCATAATACTCACTCCTGATGGTTATCTTAGACAACTTATCTCTGAAAATCAATAAATTTCCTTTTTTTCATCATAAATTCCAAAAATTGTTGGAGTCATGTGATTTCAATTTCTTGCCCCAGTCTTCATTGAACCTAGTATTTATTTTTACACAAAATTACCCAGCCACAGTGGTTATAGCGTGCGCTCGTCACGCCGAAGGCCCGGGTTCGATTCCCCACATGGGAACTGTGCGTGAAGTCCATATCTGGTGTCCCCCGCCGTGATACTGCTGGAATATTGCTAAAGGCGGCGTAAAACCATACTCACTCACTCCAGATTTGACGATTGCTTCCCATTCAAGTACGTTAGAATCTGACTTGTTGGGGTTACAGCACCACATACAACATCATATTACATATTAGATGTTATTATAATTTGTTCTATGCAGTGTTCAGTATGCTATAAAATTAAACAATAGGTTAATGAATGAATGAATGAATGAATGAATGAATGAATGAATGAATGAACGAATTTCCTCCAGAGTTCACTCCGAAGATTTTACATGGGCAAATGCATTATTTACAATACATCAATGAAATTACTTGACTATATACAATGAAATCATGTTATACACTGCTATGAATAAATAATTTACAATGTACATTTTGAGAGCAGTAAGGTATCTAGTAGATATACATAAGGTGTTTCTTTAAATTCAATATGAAGTGGCAGAAAGACATTATGATGCTTTGCCAAGTATAGTAATCAAGTTCGTTAGTCAAGTCGTGGACATCTGCACCGAGAAAGAATGAAAGCATATCATCATTGTCAAGCATATCTATTTTCACGTATACATCTACCTCAAGTTTATCATTCAGGCACGAGAAGAAATTATTTCTGTCAGGCATAAACATTTCACAATGCAAAATAATATGGCAATCATAGTCATAGCAATGTCTATTAAAATGGTTACATTCTTTCGACACCTTTGCTCTTGATCCGGTCTTATTACAAAGTTGCAGGGGTTGTCTTAAATAGAGATGCATTACATTATAAAAAAACGTGCATTTGTAACCGTTTATGAATTTTATGGTATCGTGAAAGATCTGGTCTCTGTGCTAGTCTCTCTCTCCAGATGTACTGATAGACGTCCGATTACAAGAGCTCGCCAAGCCGATTTAGTTCTGAATGAACCGCTATCAGTATATTCCTTTATATAGTTATCTAAATGGTATTTTATAGCAGTATGTAGAAGGATGTTGCATATGCTTACTGGACGGCTAATATTGACAATAGCGTTGGTAACAATGTGAGCACAAAAAAGCTCTTTTGTTATTGAGTTACAATCGTTATTGCAGAGCCTTCCTTTATCAATGTAGCCATTCATTGACCACATTCCCAAGTTAGAAATAGACGAATCGGTTGGATGTCTTTTACCAAATCCTTGTATATGACGAGCAAAGTAACGTTGTGTACATTCAATCATTTCAAGTTCTTTACCGTATAAGGCTGGTAACAATTCACATCCATAAAAGCTTGTAGATAAAATCATTTTTTTCCATATATTGCCACATGCAACTGGGTGGAGGTCGGAATCGTTGAGGCCGAATGATCGTAGTGGATTAACACATTTTCTTGCTTTTGAGCAATATGTCATGATTCTTTCTTTACAGGATAAATTACTGTTTATGATTATTTCGCCATATTTGACGGAGTCGGAGGTGTCAATTATTGCATCGCCAAACTTGTAGGTTCCTTTATTATGACGCTGGCATATTTTGCAGAATACAAGTGCTTTACTCTTGGAGGCATTATAGGTGAGTCTCCATTTGTTGGCATATGAACGAACTGAATCAAGGGAAGACTGTAAGCCCCGTTGTGTCATCGGCCAATAACACACAGGGTATATTGATGCCATAAACAGAGAGGCCATTGTTTGCTTTCCTTAGTTCACATATAAGGTTATTTATGAAAACGAGAAAGAACCATGCTGACATAACTCGACCTTGCCCAACACCTCAATTAATGGGAAACTCATCAAATCTTTTTCCGTTACAGTTGTCTGTATAGCTATGGAAAAATAAGTTCCATAATTTACCCTTCACACCAAGGTCATGTAATTTAACAAATAGACCTTCATGCCAAATACGATCGAAAGCTTTTTCATTATCTAAAAATGCAGCAAACACTTGTGATTCTCTTTCTAGGTAAAAATTAACACATTCTAAAACGGCGAATACAGACATGATTGCTCCATGTTCCTTTCTGAAACCAAATTGTAAATATAAATATCGGTATATCAATATATGTACGTGGTTATTGTTTAACACAGCATCATCAATCGTGTAGCTATTCGCGGTGATTATTTCTCCTTTATTGATTATGGCTCACATTTAACCGAATAAATCTTAGATGGGCGTCTCGTTATTTTGCAAATTGTTCTCGCTGTTTGTGAAATTCTTACACCTAAATCCTTTTTTTAATGTTTGCACTGGAATCTGAAAAACATGTATTTATGATATTTGATAAAAGCTTGATTTCATGGAATGTGTCAAGGCTACCATAGTATTTTACTATAACGCGTGCGATGTGCTTGTGTGATACTAGTACCTAATTTTGTGAGAGAGGCAAGTAATCGATTGGATGAAATGTGAGAGAACTATAATAGAGATTTTTGGAAAAAAGATCGGTAAGATTGGTGTGGGTGGAGAGAGGCGGAAGCATGTTCCTTTTGGTTCGCGGGTCTATTCAGAGGGTATTCGGGACTCGGCAGTGTTTTTGATACGCAGATTCAACATTCTAAAACGAAATAAGGGTGTACGTAAAAGGTTTCTTTTTGTATTTTATGCAACTTCGAATCGCACTCTTTTTGACCTTGGAACGTGCTCTGTAGGCTTTCGGCATACGCCACGACATTCTTTATTCATTCGTGATCAATGAAGGTTAAAGGTTTCCTTGTTTGCATATGGATACCATAAAGTCATTCAGAACCAAACCACAAAGACATCATTTTGAGATATCAGCACTGTAATTTTCTTAACTTTGAAGTAACTTTCAAACGTATCTGGACAAATCCTTGGCAACAAACTGACACAGCTGATTGTGAAATGAGAAAGGAGATTATTTACACCGGTAATCTATATCATAAATGGCTCAGTATTTGTCATTAATGATTTGCTTGGTAAGCTAAATAATACCGGCTGTTACATTGTTGATGATGGTATTCCGATCACAGCTATAGTATATGCCAACGATATTGTATTACTTACAGAGACAGCGGATGCCCTGAACAGATTGCTACAAGTAGTACCTTGTGTGAAGATAATGGTTTTACATTTTTGAAATGCTTGCGTTACAACAGTTGTATTTAGTTTGATAATTCTGTTTGAAGTGTTGCTGATTGTTACAGTTACTTAGGCCCAATGCTCACTAAACATCTTGATTATTATGCAATGGCAAAATCAGCAGCCAAGTCTGCTAACAGGACGCTAGGTCGATCGAATACAAGGCTATCGGAGGTATGCAGTCCACTGCCTATTCTAAATTAATGATACGATTGTGTGGTCGGTAATTAGTTATGGGGCATCTGTTTGGATTGGTGGTTGGTTGGTTCGTTGTTTAACGCCACATTCAGCAATATTCCAGCTATATGACGGCGGTCTGTAAATAATCGAGTCTGGACCAGACAATCCAGTGATTTACAACACGAGCATCGATCCACGTAATTGGGATCGATGGCATGCATCAACCAATTCGGCGAGCCTGTCCACCCGATCCCGTTAGTCGCCTTTTACGACAAGCATAGTCGCCTTTTACGGCAAGCATGGGTTGCTGAAGACCTATTCTATCCCGGATCGTCACGGGTCAAGAATTATTTGGAGTCTTTAATCCCATTGATTATAGTGTTTATAACATATCTCTCAATCGCCCGTTACACTTCTGACAGGATATTTTACACTAAAAAGCCTCAGATCGTTCAAATAGTTTGGCCAAGACGCCCTTTGATTCCACATCAGCGTTTTCTAATCATAATAATCATATCGAGGTTATGTCCAACTTCGACGCATAAGAATAATAAAATGCTTCTATACCAGGGCTGGTCTAAAAGTTCAAAGTCTGACCAACTTTTAACTATGGGCCATAAGAAAGTGAACCTGTCAATATAGTAAATTGTTTGAGTAGTTCATTGCAAGTGTATTTGGTCTGTTGAAGACGTTTGTATATTAGTGACAGCCAGTTGAACGTGATAGGGGTCCAGATGGACACAGAAATAGAAAAGAACGAGTACCGAGCAGTCATCAAGCTTTTGACTTTAGAGAAAAGTAATCCGTAAGAAATTCATGACCGCATGTCACAAGAGTATGGGGATAAGTGTCCTAGTTATTCCACTGTTACACGTTTGGCAGCTATGTTTAAGGCTGGGAGAACAAGCCTTGATGATGACGCTAGGTCTGGACGTCCCTCAACTTCCATCAATGAAGATTCAATAAAGGAGACAGATATTACCATTGCTGAACTTGAAGGAGACAAAGGTCGAAGCCGTGGATCCATTGAAACTATTATTCATGAACATTTACAGATGAATAAGATACCTGCTCGTTGGGCGCCAAAGTTTCTAAATTATGATCTTAAGGAAAGAAGAACTGACATTGCCAGAGACAATTTAGAGTTAATTGAGGAGGTTTTCTTCAAATTCAAAAGGAGATTAGTAATGGGTAATGAAACATGGGTCTACCACTATGATTCCGAGTCAAAACGTCAATCCATTGAATGGCACCATCCCACTTCCCTGGCACCAAAGAAACTAAAGTCTTCAAAATCAGTGAAGAAAGTTATGGAATGCTGACTGCTGGAGTTCTACTCTTTCATGACAATGCCTCTTCTCACACCTCTCACGACAATGTGGGTTTGAAGAGCTTCCTCGTCCTCCATACTCGCCAGACCTGGCACCGAGTGATTTCCACCTGTTTCCTAACCTGAAAGAACACCTTCGTATCAAGCGCTGTGACCACAACGATGACCTCAAAGCTGCCGTGAATGTGTTTTTCAGGGTGGAATTGAAAAGCTTCACTATCGATATGAGATGTGTGTTGAAAAAGCGCTATGACGACAACGATGACCTCAAAGCTGCCATGAATTGGTTTTTCGGAGTGGAATTGAAAAGCTTCACTATCGATATGAGATGTGTGTTGAAATAGCGCTATGACGACAACGATGACCTCAAAGCTGCCGTGAATGGGTTTTTCGGGGTGGAATTGAAAAAGCTTCACTATCGACATGAGAAGTGTGTTGAAAAGCAGGGAGATTATGTTGAAAAATGAAATAAAAAACATTTTCACAATTGTTGGTTGTGTTTGTTGGGCTAAGAACTTTTTGACAAGTCCTCGTACAATAGTGTATACCCATATATAATATATATGTTATATTTCTCCTGGATCTTCTTTTCGAGAATATATTATTTGATTTGGATTTCACAACACCAGAATTCAGAGGATATTATAATTGAACACTGTATGCTCTTTACATAACATACACATGCAAAATCAACACACTTCTGTCGTGTTTACCCATTACCTGGTACAATATGTAGTTTCTGTCTTCTGCCTATCCCCGTGTCACTTATTTTCAACACAGCCTTACAGTTAAGGCAAGTATAACGGTAAACACAAACATGGTTAAACATTTGTGTGTGTTAAAACACGTGTTAATATAAAGGGAAATTTTGGAGGGCTGGTGATCATAGCCTATGCTCAAGTCACTCTAGGGTGATTTAAGCTGGGGATTGAATGAGTTGTGCCTTTAACACCCGTAAGGCATGCAAGCTGATTGGGTATTACCACCAGCCGGGTACAGAATGTACGCGTTTCGATTCTATAATTTTAACATTGTAAAATAAATTATTTTTAAATCTTAGGGGCGCGGGTCTCCTCAATCATCCAATTCTGCAAAGTTGTATATACTAATTAGACTTGCACTTTGCTCTTGGCAAAACGGCATATAAAGTTATGTGGAATGTCTACTTGTTGCTGTAACCAAATATAACCATATCCACATTCACTAGACCGATGCAAATGTCAAAATATTAATTTTTTTACAATATTACTACTTTTCATAGGTCCTTTATTGAGTGGTGACACTTAGAATACCGAAAAGCAGAAGTTGCCATTTTTGTTTACAAATTCACGTGTAAAAATCACGTGATTTTCATACGCGTTTTGATAGGCTGCATTCATACAACTTGTCGCATGTCTTACTCCGTACAACTCACGTCCAACAAGTTGCATACGTCAAAAGTTGGTCCGACTTGCGTGTTCACACGATGCAGTTGGTTGCATGCAACTAATTGTATACAACTAGTTGTACCGTGTGAATGGCCCTTAAGGCGCCGCGATTCGCTGTGCAGAGTTGCGTCCCTTGGGCACGCCAGAAACCTATGATTGTGGCCCCGATTATGTTTCTAGGTTTGTCAGCACCACTTCGGGTTTTCCTCAACATTAAGCTGACACGCCGTGATATAACTGGAATAATGTTAAAAGCGGTGTTTAACCCAATTCACTCACTCAGTTATCTAACTTACCTTCCGCTCTCTTATTATGGGAGAAGGGGGCAAGGGTGACCCAGTCGTCTAAGGCGACGCGATTCGCTATGCAGAGTTGCGTCCTTTGGGCACGCCAGAAACCTATGATTGTGGGTTCGAATTCCGGTTCGCCCCGATTATGTTCCTAGGTTTGTCAGCACCATACCCGTGCTCGTGGGTTTCACCGAAGTGGTAAACGTCTGAGACCTGCATCATTTCGGGCTTTCCTCCCACATTAAGCTGACACGCCGTCATATGAATGGAATACTGTTAAAAGCGGCGTTAAACCCAACTCACTCACTCACTTTTATGATCCTATGTATCCGCTTTCCTTCATTTCACAAATGAAATAATTTTGAGTAATATTGCCATGTCGCCATATCGCAATATCGCTATGTCGCTGATTCGCAATTTCGCCGTATCGCATTTCGCCGTATGTCGTGTCGTGTTCTCGCCATGTCGTGTCGTGCTATCGCAATGTGGTTGTGTGTTAGCGCCATGTCTTTGCGTGTTATCGCTTTTTCGTTTTTGGCAGTATCCAATATCGTTATATCCTGTCGCGATATCTCAATGTGGTTTCGTGCTATCGCGTGGATATGTCAGGGCGATATGGCGATGGCCCTTATCAGCCACCATACAACTGTATCCTTGCACCCATTTTACCCGGTGGTGTCATGTATTGGTCTATGTTAACCCTAAACATGCTCTGTCGTGCAGCTTTGAGTGAAATACAGTCAAATACAGAATGGAATCAGACCAGTCAGAATCAAGGATCCTCCAATGGCATACTAGAAGTAGCAGTACCCGAGCTATAACTGTCTGCGCGAAATACGCACGTTAAATTCATAATTTAAGTAAGTATAATTGTCACTACATTTGTACGCCTGTGAAGGGTGTCGCCGGTTTGCGCACATCTAGTCCCGAGTATCGTCATTAAATAGCTGTGCGGCAGGTGTCAGACTGGGATACCGGTAAAATGAAACGGGGGATATTAGTCCTAACATTCACATGTGCGTTCCTACTGTTGTTAATATGTTTCTACGTCAAACAACTACCTGGATATACTGGGAGCCAAGTCGGAGAGATATTTGCAGGGACAGGTACTGTTCATTTCTTGCTATTCTACACATTGTATGGGAAACCACCCCATTTTGGTATTGCGCACTGCTATAATGTGAACACGAAGTTGACTAAGAACTGATTGTACATTAACCTAATAGTGAGTGAGTGAGTATGGTTCTACTTCGCCCTCGACAATAGTCCAGCATTATCATGGCTGGGGACACCAGAAATGGGCTTCACACCTTAACCTAATACTTCTGATGAGGATTTCTTTCAGCTAAATATATTATATTGGCATGCAAACATCAATACAATTATGTATAATACGTGGACATGGTTGTATAGCTAGTTCTCCGGTGTTTGACCTTTTTTTATCCACGTTACATAAATATTTGGTGATTTTTAACATAGTATCAAATTGCCAGTGTGTAAAATGTATGCTTCATCGACATGCTTCTGAAAACTCATACACCAGTTATTTCAGCAGTTTCTTAATATTGTATTAAATGCAACATATCCATTATTGAGTAAGTAACAGTGTCGTAAATGAAATTAAATGCATTATGATATTATTTGGATCTTTAAGTAATCCTCAATATATTTCAAAATCAGATGACAAGTACTTACTCATTTTACCAGGATGACTTGTTGACAATATTAATTAAGGCATATACACACATGTTCGTTTTTTGGTACCCTGAAACTCACACGCGACGCTAATCTAGGTGTGTTATATAGCAATTTTATTAATAATAATAGTATCGATAATAAAAGCAAAATTTCCATAATCAAAAGAAATGTTTACTGAAATCAAAATACAGTGTACGATTCGGAGCATTCGTTTATATCACCAAATATATTAAACAGCCAACCTTGAAGACATTAACATCGATGAAATTACAGTGAAACTCCATTAATCCGGACTAACCAGTCCCTTCCCAGTGAAATCGTCCTGATTAACAAGTTTATTATCAAAACCATCCACGTTGGTACATGAGCATATTTTACAGAATAATTAAAATTGTGGACATAATTACACGTGATGAAATACAGCTACAAACATTATGGTATGATCCACAAAATTATTTGTTGCTGACAGTAGCGAGAATAATCGAAATACATTTAGAATGTTTCTTGATATATCTAAGTCTTGTAGGACATAACACACGTTTCTATTTAAATACACTTGGGCAAGTACAGTCCTTTTCCTGTAAATAAAACCCTTTCAATATTCATATGAAATTTCTGCCAAAACAGATTTACGATTCTGACTATATCATAAGCATGTGTTTGTGAATCACTATCAATTAGTGATGATACCAGGTGTTCGCGAAAAGGTGAGCGATGCTGCCCGACCGGTTGCACCGTCATAAACACATGCCAAGGCATGTCAATTGTTCATCTGAAAAAAACACAGGGATGTCCTCCTCATTCAACTTCTTGAAAGCTTTACTGAGGCCTTGAATATTGTAATCTTCATCAAACAACTTATCAGTAAGAGTCGTATGACGCTCTGTGAAATTTTGTTTGAAAGAGCATGCTCGATTGTACCTCAAAAGTTGTGAAATGTATACACCAAGGGCTGGAGCTGCAGGAATATTGCTGGACATATAGGGAAAGTTGAAGTTGTTATACAGTCTTGTGTTTTGTCACTCTGAAATACATATATCTGTGAGAGATAAAATAGGGACATTTAAAGTGAAGTTCATCTGCAATCGATGGAGAGTCCCACAGACGGCATGTTTTGTCCTCACGGGGAGACCACGCCATCTAACGGTCTCTATCAGTTGACTATGATTAGAGGTTGTGCATTTAAGTAAAGGCATTGTCATTTTGTGGTGAAGTAATACATATTTTTCGAAAGAAGGGGAATCTCTGAATACAGAATTCCCTCACAACTAAAGGATGCATTATTTCTCAAGGATTGTATAAAGTGCTCCTGTAGTACATATTCCACTTGCGGTAATAATATATAACCAATGTCGATTGAAGTTACTGGGATTGTGAAATACTTCACTAACTCTAAAGTGGTCCAAAACTTTATTTACATCAGATTACCAATATTATTTTGTGTTTATCTATACAATTGTCAAGTTTAAGAAACTTCAGTATCATACAAAAGAAGTTATTAAATGCATTAACTTATCATTCTTTTTGAAAGTTGGATTGTTTAAAGTTTTCTTCCCAGTTCTCCGTATACTAGAAACTTACAGTAGAGTTCCTTAAACTTGTTAGTATCTTCAGAAACTCTAATTTGAATGTTTCTATTACTTCTAGTTGTCCATAACCCCAAACTTCACAATCATACAGCAGTATTGGCAGCACCATTACACCAAAAGCCTTAATAATGCAATCTATTGGTGAAATAAAATTCAACGTTTCAACAATTCAACAATTGTTTAATCTCCACTTTGGATATATCAGCAGCATTAAGTACATCATCATCGCAGTCATTTGATACTTTTATTTTATCTACTATGAATGGTGCCATTTAAGCTTTTTTTTAAAATCATAAACATTTGAGTATTTTCTTCTTTAGACTTCAGATTAAATTTGGGGTTAAGGAAAATCCAAACGTTTTTTGGCGAGTGTTTCATCTTAATCATTTATTTACCATATTTGCATGTTTATTTCTGTTCAAATACTTTTATAAGCCCTTGCCTGTAAGCTTAAATACAGATTATTAACATCATCGTTTCCTCTTTTGAAATTAAGAGCTTTTATATATCGCCGGATTTCTTTGCACTCTTTTCCAAACCGTGGCTTTCTTTTTTACCCATTAACAATTGTAACATACCTGTGTGGTGTGCGTCAGTGCGGTCTGTCCTAATTTCAAACTATCTCTGTGCAGCTATATATAGACGTCCCCAACAATAATCATCATTGCGACTGGGCAACCTGACTGAAGGCGTAACTCTTTTAATAGTTAAAGTGAGATTAATGTATTTCCTTGACACTGTACGCAATGAACGAGCAGAGACCTGGCTTATTAGTTACTTGCAAGCAGACAATGATTAAACAAGATATAATATACTTACCAAGGAACTAAATCATGTATAAGGTCTTATAATTACACCTCGGATTTTCTGTCGTGCAATATTGTTGTTGGACATATTTTTATCACAACGGCCTAGGAGATCCCACTGGCATCTGTCCGTGTTGTGTTAGCAATGGAAGTACTCTCCTCAAACTGATTGTTTTACTGTTTCACGATGACACAATGACAATGGAACTGTGAAAATGAGCTGCGAGAGTCCATACATATTTTCAGTCAAACTTTCCAAAATCGAAACTTAATAATTAATTCTCAAAAGTAAGAGCATCATAGTTTTCTTGAATTACATAAATAAGGTGGACAACTCCATTATTCCGTATGGTCTCAAACTACATATGCCTATGGGTGTAAACTATATATTTACAAACACTAGCTATAGGTCCCCTATCTTTTCGCTTTCCGGTTGCAGGTCTTTGAGGAATGGTTGAGAGCAATGCTTCTGGCGAGTTCTGCAAAACTTGGAATTCTGTACTTTGTGAGTTTGATTAAAAGTTCATACTGACTTGAGTGGGAATTCTCATTCAGGGGAGAAGAAAACATGAGAGCATAAGGAGACACAGCAACAATAACATATTACGTTACAATGAACACATTTATGTTTTATTTAAAATCAATACAATATCAATGTTTGCTTAACCCCTCATAATTACCACGTACTTCTTTATAGTTACTTTACTGTGTGCAAACAACGTGTTTATGCGCTACTGCATGCCGTAAGGTGAGGTGAAATGGGGTTTAACGCCGCGTTCAAGGTTGTTTAACTTATAACTTGACGTGCATACACCTCTCTGTGTGTGTGTGTGTGTGTGTGTGTGTGTGTGTGTCTGTCTGTCTGCTTGTACTAGTGCGGCCTAATGCCGATCTTATAGTGATAGCCCACTGAGATACCATGCCGCAGTTTTCTATGAATGCCCCACTCAGACATAGTTCTGCACGAGCGATCATAAATTATCATTCACAGGCGCATTATAAACTGAAGAAGACTAAGTACTGATTGTGTTTTAACCAAATACTTTTACTCCGCGGATATTTGCGAACCTAATTGTCCATTTTCTGGGTATATTTAATTCATGCCTAGATAAATAATGTAACTTTATCAGCTGAAAAAAATGTAAATGGTAATAAATTCACACCAATCGACGGCACACGACGGCACACTTCATGTTTACTTTCCTGGTGTAAATGTCACGTGACCAGACAAGGGCTGTCCTCGTAAAATCTAAAACTATGGAAACAAGTAAGGACCATTTGTCAAGGAAAACTTATTGATTTTTGAGAACTTCCCTCTCTGTAGTATAGATTTTATGAAAGAAAAAGCTGCATGTTTACAGGTTTTGCCCAATGGTGAACCACCTAGAAATATCATAAAACTACTGTGGTATTTACTCTAAATCGGATTTTGACACAAGAGACTATCCATACATGTAATCCCGGTCACTCGATAAACCAGCCAATCAAATGATCGATGTAGCTTTATGTTCCACTTCAGTGAGAGTGCGGCCATGCCGCGAGTGTCATTTTCAGTGGAAATACCACTATGTGTTTACATAAATAAACAAGTTTTGAGGTAAGATATTTGAAAATTAGATTATATGAATATTACTCTGAATATTCAGCGAATTTTCGTATGTGATCGAACTTTCATGACACGAGGAAATTAAAGAAAAAAAGACGAGGGACAGTTGGTTATCACACAATAAAGAACAGCAAGGATAAAAAAAAAACGAGGGTCGTTTTTTGCTTATATGAGATATCAACATTATTTACAATCTCTTTAAGGATGTTGATGAAATGTACAAGCTTTAAAGATATTTACCCTTATTAAAATAATCCCTGACTACAATCAATGTTGGACAAGTCCATTTTATGAACAGGAGGGTTAAGTTTGGTATTTTATGAATATTTTCACAAACACAAACAATTGACGGTCATTATCTGACAGGTATATTTCCTCTCACTACGGATTGCTATATCTTGCCCACT